TGAAACACCTCCGAAGGTAGATTCAGATTGGAGGACAGAGAACACCTCCCCAGGTCGGCTCCGGTTCGGGAACACGGAACACATCAACAGGTCGGTTCCGGCTCGGGGACACGGAACACCTCCGCAGTCGGCTCCGGCTGGGGGACATGGAACACCTCCGCAGTCGGCTCCGGCTCGGGGACACGGAACATCTCCGCAGTCGGCGGCGGCTCAGCCCCCCCCATAACCCACCCCGTAGCCCCCCCCTCAAGGGCCGGATCCCAGACGGCCCTCAAATCACCAACGGGAGGGTGGGAGAGGACCATGGGATGGGAGGGAGGGGAGCCTGAGTCTCGGAGCGGGGACTGGGGGCGTCGGGGGCATGGAGCGTGGGGCCGGTACTGGTCGGGTCGGGGGCATGGAGCGTGGTGCTGGTACCGGGGGCATGGATCGTGGCGCTGGCTCGGGGGTCGGGGGCATGGCTGAGAGTCTCGGAGCGGGAGATCGCTGCGGCGGCCCAGCGGGAACGGGAGATCGCTGCGGCGGCCCAGCGGGAACGGGAGATCGCTGCGGCGGCCCAGCGGGAACGGGAGATCGCTGCGGCGGCCCAGCGGGAACGGGAGATCGCTGCGGCGGCCCAGCGGGAACGGGAGAACGCTGCGGCGGCCCAGCGGGAACGGGAGAACGCTGCGGCGGCCCAGCGGGAACGGGAGATCGCTGCGGCGGCCCAGCGGGAACGGGAGATCGCTTCTTCCGCTTGCTCCTCCTAGGGTTAAGGAGGTCCCGGAGCTCGAGGCAGGCGAGCTGATAGCTCCTGGGACCAAAAACACAGTTTGTTTTCCGCTGCCAGAAGGGACTCCTTACGTCCAGGTAGTCCGGACCGTAGTCTGGCAGCGGGTCTGCTGAGCCCTTCTTTGGTCGCGTCATTCTGTCAGGGGTGCTGGTGGAAGGCAGGACTCAAACGCAGACTTGCGGAAAACAAAAGGACTTTAATAGTCAATGGTCAAAAACACAGGAACCGGGAGGAAAAGCAGCAGGCAACATGTGTGACAAAAGACAATGACGCGACAAGTGACACAGGAGACACACTGCTTAAATACACAAGGGAGGTGCAGGTGATTGGACACAGGTGGAAACTATTAGAGGAACACAGGGGATGACGAGACAAGGCAGGAAGTGAAGTTACCCGGGGACACGAGTGGCAGAAAACTACAAAATAAGACAGGAAGTGAACCACACCGTGACACAGAGGCCACGATCCACAATTTCCATCACAAAGTTATGTGATTGTCTATTAAACATCCCCATCGTCATATTTACATGTCTGCATTTGATTTAATGCAGTTATTAAAGGCCTACATCAGAGGAAAATAAATGTAGAGGGCCGAGTCTGAAGGTTCAGACCAGCTTAGCAGGTCGTGAGTGACGTCATTACAGGACTTTTAGTGAATCGTTAGATATTCATCATTTATAAAAAAAAAATGGTCAAATAAAAAGATTATAACGTATTATAACAAACTTTTTGTGTGTACATATTTTAAGTAAAAACAGGCGTCGCTGTCTCTGAGCTACATCAAATTAATGATCAGGGTATTTTTTATAGTCTGCATGCATATTGATTTAACAATTTGCTGTAAAGTATATTTTGCGGCACAATAATTATAACGCTATGGTGAACAGCGCTCAGTAAAGGGCTAATTCCACTTTTATTTGCACCACAGATTCCTTGTGATCATAATTCCCTATCGTTTTGACATTTCCTCCCCTCCAGCTAAACGAGAGCGCCTGCGCCTGGAAGAAGAGAGGAGGCAGGAGGAGGAGGAGAGCAAGAAGCTCCCGGAGATGGATGAGGGTGAGAGGATGGAGCACCTCTGTAGGACGGAGCAGCAAGAGGAAAGGAGGAGGAACAGAGAAGAGGGGCGTGAGAGGAGAGAGGAGGAGGCCGCTGTGCGAGGCTCACAGGAGGCCTGGCCGCAGGCCGAGCTGCTTTCCAGGTTTACATACATACATACGTGTGTGTATGTTGTCCTTAAACCAGGACTATTGTGATTATCATACCATTTCATGCATTCAGATGTACATTCTCTCTCTCCTCCTGCAGACAGATGGCGCTGTTGCAGCAGCAGTCTGCCTTTAAGAGGGGTCTCGTGTTGGAGGCCGGGGGTCTTGAGAAAACTCAGCGTATCTCCAGACCCTGGATCTGCTCCTATTTCCCTTTGTGACAGCGACTGGGACCAAACCCAACTAAAGCCGAGACCATTGCACGTGACCTTTAACCTCCATTTTAGAACAGGGTTTTCTGTTTTTGTTTTGGCACTTATTTCTAAAGATCATAAAATCAAATGGGTGAAAAGGCTCACATCTGTGCCCCCTCCTGTAGCGCAGAATATACTGGTGTTTAGAAGTAAAAAGTATACATATGACATTAAGTATTTATCTCGCTCTCCACAAGTAAATATTACATATGACTTAACTAAAATGCCTCCAAAAAACAGTGTGGAGTTTTTGTGGAGAAATTGTTTTGAATTGCGTGTGCGCGTGTGTGCGTGTCATTTTCCAGTCGCTGTCAAAATTTTTGAATTATGGGCAGACTTATTTTGATTTGGATTACAGTGGTGAGTGTAATGAGGGTTATCTTCGTTTTTTTACGGCTAATAACTGTGATTGGCCGCCAGTGTGTGTTGGCCTAAGGGGACGGCTCACCGTAGTATTTTTTTTTGTTTTTTAAGGGGCTACTTGGATGTGCAGTTTTCATAAAAGCGGTCGGCAAGTGATTGTCTTCTTTTTCCTGAAAGAGTAATTAAACAAACAAACCCCGGCGGGGAAGAAAAACCTGAAACTAATTAAACAGGCTACGTATATATTCTGGATTAGCAGAGCGCCCCTCGCTTCTGACATTTACTCAACAAATGATACATGGCATCTGTGAATGTTCTTTCACTGTTATTGTACCAGGATGGCTGGTTATCAATAATGCATTATAACATTATATGAACATTTATTAATAGATTAATAAACCCTGAAGCATAGAAAGTATTTGAAACAACCACCTAATGTGTATTCGGTGATTACAATAAAGTTTAACTTTTTTGAAATGAGCCATCTTGCACAATCGGTACTTTAGGAATATTTTGACCCGGGTGATCGACCCGGAAGCACTTTCTCCATCCCGGAAATGAAACCGCTGTGATGGTAAAACAATACGGATGTTCAGTCGTATCCTCAAGTTTACGTCGAACTAAACTCTCATATAGAAAAGCAGTGCCGAGTATGTGGTGAAAAAAGGTAACAGCGGACAGTGTTTAGCAGTAATTAGATGGTCGCTAGTTCTGTGCAGCTAACTTAAGCTAACCTCAGCTAACGGGACGCCTGTCAGATGCGTCGCCTCAGCTAGCTAAGCTAAGCTAGCAGTCTGTCTAAACTGTAACCACGAACAAGTGGTAAGTAACATGTTTCATCTTCCATGCTAAATATACAATGTACTCGGAATGTATGAGATAGTTTATTCGTGACATTATGTTATTCAAGTGATAAACCCTGATGAATTAACCAGAAAAACTGCACCTCCATTTGCACTTTACCTCAATTCACTGTTTTAGCTGCAAATGTTTAAGCAGTATTCTTATAAAACCTATATTTGGATATGTTTATATGTGTGTTGTATAGCTGTCACATGTTCAATCCCTCACTTGTATTAATAACCTGTACGTACAGTATGTGGACAGTAAAGATAAAAAAACAACGTCACTAGCGTTCATCATCATCATTAGGGCGACTGTGGGTGAGTGGGCTGTCCTCCAATCAGAGGGTTGTCGGTTCGATCCCAGGCTCTGCTAACCCGCATGTCGATGTGTCCTTGGGCAAGACACTTAACCCAACATTGCTCCTGTAGCTGTGACGGCAGTGTGTGGATGTTAGTGACTGATGGGCAGGTGTCACTGTGTGTGGTTCTCCTGTCATCAGGGTGTGAATGGGTGAATGATGTCATGTAGTGTCAAAGCGCTTTGAGTGGTCGGCAGACTAGAAAGGTGCTATACAAGTACCATTTACCATCGCCCGGCGAATGTTGCATTGCATCACCAAGTTTGTCCTTAACAACTCTCTGGCATGTCACAAAATGTAATGTAGCTGATGATGTCACTACCTGGAGCAGACTGAAATCAAGGCCATGCTATGCCATTGAAAAACAATTGTAAACATGAAGAAACCTTCGTATTGTAATGGTAATAGGGTTAGGTTGCACTGCAGAGTGCTGTCGATTAGATAGCAGCAGGACAAAATATTTATTGTTGCAAGCACAGAGAACCTTGGACTACAACCAGCTACCTGGTTCTCTGCTCAAGTAGAAATTACTCCAGTTTACCTCGTAAATTATTGTTGTAAAGAGTTGTTTGAATCTGCTCCCTGAGAGGTTGGGGAAATGTGTTGTCAATTCTGCATCGGGGAAGAAGTAAATTAATAATAATAATAGTTATATTGCACTTTCAACCTTTGTTGTTGTTGTTGTGCTTGCATGCTTCTCCAGCTGAAAATGGATGTGAGCATTGCCGTGACGCTGATTCGGGGCCAGATGGGTGCCGTGGTGGAGCGGGCGGTGAACGGGGCGGTGGAGACCGTGCTGGCCGAGATGCTCAAAGTGGTCGGAGTCAAGTTTGAGGAGCTGAAATGCCAGGTGGCGCTGATGAAGAGGGACGTCGCGACGTTGCAGAGGGAGAAGGTCCTGAAGGAGAAGGAGAACGACAACATTCGAGCCAAGCTGCGCTACACCGAGCTGAAGCTGAAGTACTACAGGCAAGGAGTGGAGGAGGAGCTGCAGCAGAGGGCCTCCGGTGCTCTCCAAGCACACAGAGACGCCGAAGGTGTTTCCTCCACCGAGGCCTCCCAGTCATGCTTCACTCAGACCAGGACTTCAAGCGGTCACGGTAAAGACCACAGAAATGTCCGACTCCTGCTTGGCTTCCTCACTCTTTAAATTAGAGCTAGAAGGCTGATACATAAGCCTGTCGCAGGTTGCTGTCAGTGTTCATGTCTAACAAGTAATACAAATTGAATTAAATGCGTTTAAAAGAGGTTAAGCCTAATGAGGTAAACCTTGAACATCTCTCTTTTGATTTTGTGTTTGTGCAGCTTTGTTCTGTCCCGCAGAGCGAGACACGGCTCAGAGCAACGAGCAGAAGGGCGACAGTAAGTGGTCCTTCCATCTGCCGCCACACGCCGAAGGCAGCGACGCGGCGGCGACCCCTCCGGTCCGACCCGTCTCCCTGGATCCGGGGCAGCACTCGGCCAACGGCTCTCCGTCCCACGATGGCTCCGCGCAGGCCGATAGCTCCACTCTGCCCTCCTCTGCTCCACAGGTGACAACAACGTGCCGAAGGACAAAACACTGCTTTGAAAGATGATTGGTTTTGTATTTAGATTCTAAATAGACCTGAAAAAGCACCAAATGGCAACAATTCAGATCTTTGATTAAGCTTTTATGTCATCTATGGAAGATAAATTATAAACATGATAAGATGAGATTCAACTTTTTTTGATCATTGCAGGGGAAACTCTGTAGTTTCAGAAGGACATATAGTCACATATAACCATATGAATCAGTCCAATGGACAGGATGAGTGTTTTAAATGTGAGTCTCTGTGTTTTTTTTCCTTCCTACCAAGTTCTGACTAAAAAACCCTGCAGAGGCTGAACTAGACAGAAAAGATATTGAATTGAATGAATATGAATACAGACTGCCTAACTACTAGAGGACTCACATTTGTGAACCAGTGAAGGTCTGACACACAGCCCTAGTCCTAAAGTCCTTGTTGCAATGCAGGTGAAGCAGGAGGCCCCGGAGCTGCAACCGGAGGAAGAGGAGGTGATCTGCATCAAGGAGGAGCCAAAGGAAGATCAGGAAGTGACGGCCTCCCTTCTGCTGGACTGCCACGTGCAGCAGGGTCCTTTTCCAGTGTCAGAGGTGAGGCTACAGCTGAAGAGTCAAATCTGTCCACCACAAGTGTCCTTCCCAGGGAAATAAGTTCTGCCTCACAACTGACCATCACAAAGTGTTGGGAACAACCTGTGGATGCTCTTCCAGGCTCAGCGGTCAGCGACGGAGTGTTTGGGACCTCCAGTGAGCCAGAGAAGTGACACCGCAGCCTTCGGCTCATCCGGACCCAACCCCCGTGAGTAGATCCGTGTGTTTGTGGGATCATGGCGCTCCACCCGCTGCATCTATCGTATTGATTTGAGAAGCCTCCCCGTGTTTGTGCTCTCAGATCTGATGCCTCAGCCGGTGGCCTCCCTGCTGCAGCCGATGGTGGCTCTGCCATGCGGCGTCCTGCCTCGCCAGGCGCCGCGGCCCTGGCCTAAAGATCTCAGTCTTTATGAAGAATACAAACTGCGCCGCAATGAGCTCCGCAGGCGAAGCATCAACAGACGCAGAGAGCTGGAGAAGACGCTGCCTCAGCCACTACTGGCTGACCTGGTAAAGCTCGATTGGGTACAGTTAGGCGGCTGAAATGATTTCTGAATGGATTTATATGCTTTTAGTTTGCTTGGCTGTGTACAAGGAGAACCGAATGCTGAATATTGGTTCAATAGGACAGAAGTTTGAAGACAAATAAAATAAATAAAGTGGAAGCTCAGCATCAGAAGTTGTGCAGATTTAAATTGGATCAGCTTCCTGTTTCCGGGTCGAGTGCCCACTAAGAGAGCTGGTAATAACACGTTGCTTTAGCTCGTCTAATATTTAGAGGCCATTTGCATTATAGTGGCTCAATAATGGCCGAGGGTCACCGACGCTTTTCTGGACTGGAAAACAAATGAATCATCCGTTTCGTAGTGTTCATGCAACGCTGTGGCGACACAGAGTAAACTCCCGTTTTATTAACTTATCATTTTATTATGCTGCGGCATAAATAAACCAACGAGTCGTCTTACAGCCGCCTACATTTAGCGTAAAAAAACATTTTTTCTTTTTATACGTTAAAGGTGCGAGAGCGTCGTGAGAAGACCAGACTGCGGGTGGCCAGATGGAGGGCGAAGAGGAAACTCCAGGACTGCATCAAGCAGGACCACGTGAGTTATTGGTCCAAACCAGTGTCCTCGCAACGTCCCTTTGTGGTGGACTTGCGGTCTTCCTAAACGAGTCCTGTCTTCTCTGCTCTCAGTCTCTAGGTGGCGCTGCAGGTCTTTCTCCAGCGGGCTTTGCTCTCAGCAGCCAGCATCAGCAGCCCAGAGGGACCTGCGGTAAGAGGACGCCTTCTGCTTTTTACACGCGTTCTGTTCTTCGGCTGGAGGCCACCTATGAGCCATCCACAGTTTTGACGATGGCTTAAAAATTGGTCCCTTGATGCTTCTTCAGTCACATAGTATTATAGTATTAAAAAGTAAGGGACAATTTGTGCCCACAGGAGACCGAAGTAGAAAGTCTGATTTCTTTGTGGTTTTATTGCCTTTACTAAGGAATCTCATGGGGGAAACCCTGTAAGGACCTTAAAGGTGTCTCATCTGCATGTGGGCAACTAATAATTATTTTCATCTGACATTTTTTAGATTAATTGTTATTGCTGTGAAAGTCCACGGTGAGGAAACGTCTTGGTTTGTGAGTAGGAAACCTAAAGATAATCAGTTTTGTATGACTAACTGGAGAGAAGCAGGAAAACCCACATTTTAGAGGTTGAAAACTGTATTTTCTGTCACTTTGTTTACAGATATTACTTGTACTTAGTTGCTGTCTATTTGACAGGTCAAACCAATACGGCCTTTTGGGGAGTGACATCACGTTAGTCGTGTCTTTTCTCCTCTTTGGGAACGTGGATATTACCTTCTCAGGGTTTGTGATCGTTGTGTTCACGTAAAAATGTTTGGAATGAAGGAGACTTCCTGCTTGTGTTTCAGCCTCCGGCAGCCAGCAGAGACTCTCCTCAGCTCCGCCTCCGTCCGACGGCTTCCTCTCAGACCCTCTGCCCTTCATCCCCACCTCCTCCTCCTCCTCCTCGTTTCTCTATCTGGGAGGCCACAACATGGCTCCGCACCAGCACACTGTGACATCGTCAGCCTGTTGCAGCAGATCGCCTCGTTGACTGATGTCTTGCAGTGAGATGTTTGGAAGTGAAAGAGAGATTTAAAAAAAATGCGTTTTGCAAATGTGAAAAAGTGGGTGTTCAGGAAACGTTGATCCAACCTCCGATTCGCACGGAGCTACGAGCAGTTTCAAGCTATCAAGTTTAAAACCAACATCTGGATGCTGAGCATCTTCTATTTCTTCTTATTTTTCATGTCTGTTAGTTGTTCATCCCGAAGTTGCTTCACAGTATCGACTAAGGATTATGCTGCACTATTATTAAGAGTTTACTATGTTGAATTGTATTCTAACGGTAGAGTTGAGTTGTTACCAAATTAAGCAATATATTTTTATCTCGCACGATATTCTGCCCTAATTTATTTGATGTTATTTCAAAAATGAGATTTTAACTGCCGTCATAAAACGATGGACATGGATTTTTAATTTTTTTTAGAGCAGTCACGTCAATAAATTGAGACGTTAAGAAATTTATTTAAAAACCTTTAATAGAAGCTTTTTGCACAACTTCAATGCTAAAACAGTCCTTTATTGATTGGAAATGTTTCACTTCATGGATGATTTTCCTCAGGTCAGACTTATCACTATCATGCATTCAAATATAAAAAACATTAAGAATTGTATATAAACCCATTTTCCACACATGTATACATTGTTTGACTGTTTACATATGTAGAAGTAATCTTTTATCCGCCCTACATTCCATATTTTAAAGTGAAATCCTTGAGCATGCACGAGTTGTCCTTCTGTCCCATTGTATGACTTGTTTGGGCAAAAATTAATCATTTGATCTTTGTAGTTTCGCCATATTAAAGATCACCAGATGTTACGTAAGTTAAGGTATAATAAATGCTGAAATCTACGCGGTTTTTGCTTATCAATATTTGTTATGTCTGAAGTTCAAGGAAAACGTTTGTCATGAAAAGTAATACATAAGGTCATCAGAAAGGTAATGAACATTTTATTTTTCATAATATCTTGGACTGTTTAAGTTCTAGTATTGTAAATGATTAAGTCATACATAGTACGTTGGTCATAAAAATAAAATGGTCGGTACAATTTATGGCGGACCTCCACGGGGTCAAGGCGACACGCAGCTCGTCCCTGCCCTCATGTGCTCATATGCACCACTTAAACGTAAACTCATTCAGAATCCGATCATCTATTTTAACATGTGGAAGGTTCTCTTCATCCCTCCTGTACGAGATCAAGAAGGACGGAGGGGCCTTCATCTAAAAGGTCCAATCCCTGAGCAGCGCTTCGGGGCGCCGGTGTGGTCCTCCACACTTCATCCGTTGACTATCTTCTGAGAAATGGCCCCCGGCAGCGTGTAGAAGAGCAGAGCGAGGAACAGCACGCTGATGAGCAGCACCAGGGCGATGATGATGTACTTCTTGTAGCTCCGCCACACCAAGTGGAAGAAACACTTGAACGGATTGACGAACCAGGAGAAGGACGTGTCCGGTCGACTGGTGGAGGGAAGACGGGATGAAGAGCTTTTATTCACTCGGACATTCAGCAGCATTCCAATGGATTCGACACATAAAGCCGGACTTACTTCGGCTTCGGCAGCGGCTCCGGCTCCTTGCGAGCTCGGCCGACAGGATTTTTCTCTGCCTCCTCGGCAATTAGAAGATGAAACTCCGCCTCCACTTTCCCCTGATGGGTTCAGAGCACACGCGTCCATCAAACCGCTGGTTTGTAGTTTGTGTGTGTGTTTGTGTTCGCACACGCACCGTCAGCTCTCCAGACTTGGCGAAGGGCCACCAGCCTCTCGCTCTCTTCTGTTGGAAGATGGAGATCCTCTCCGTCCCGTCCGTCAACATGTCCGCCTTGCACGACTTTGCAGTCTTCGCCCCTCTCGGGAAACCGTGGAGGTCCAACTCCACCGTGCCTAATCGACGACACAAACACACACACTCGTACCGGTGCGACACAGACAGAAACACAGAGGAAAGTGGTCACACCCACCCAGGAAGTCGTCGGAGGAGAGCGTCTCAAAGTCCCACACCTGCAGACTCAGGATGGCGGGAAGCTTCTGCTCCGATTTATCCAGGGAGAAAATATGCTCTTTCTTGCTGACCACTATCACCTGCCGGAGAGGGGGAGAAGACAATGCGACGGTGAGGGTTTGTTCAGGGTGGTCCCGGAGGCGTGAGCCTCGTCGGTACCTTCTCGGCGGGCAGGTAGCTGAAGGGGAACACAAAGCGCCAGTTGAAGTTCCCCTCGCCGGTCAGAGAGTTGTAGTGGACGTCGGTCTCCTGCCGGTCGTCCTCCAAACCTTTCAACCAGCTGCAGAGAGACAACCGGCGGGGTCGTGTTAAACCAGATGTTAAAATGTCACCAGTCCGACGGACAGACAAAGCTCGGAGGTACCCCTTGATGTAGATATCACTGGACTGCTGGCCGGTCAGGAAGCTGCTGTCCTCCAGAATCACATCCTCTGTGTTCCAGATGATGATTCTCAGCTCGTACCTGAAGAGAAGTAAACATGCAAACACAGTAGCGTTAGACTCGTGTATAAAAGGCTTTCAGCTACTGAGAGAGAGACTCGTGTATAAAAGGCTTTCAGCTACTGAGAGAGAGACTCGTGTATAAAAGGCTTTCAGCTACCGAGAGAGAGACTCGTGTATAAAAGGCTTTCAGCTACCGAGAGAGAGACTCGTGTATAAAAGGCTTTCAGCTACTGAGAGACTTGTGTATAAAAGGCTTTCAGCTACTGAGAGAGACTCGTGTATAAAAGGCTTTCAGCTACCGAGAGAGAGACTTGTGTATAAAAGGCTTTCAGCTACTGAGAGAGACTCATGTATAAAAGGCTTTCAGCTGCTGAGAGAGACTCATGTATAAAAGGCTTTCAGCTGCTGAGAGAGACTCATGTATAAAAGGCTTTCAGCTACTGAGAGAGACTCGTGTATAAAAGGCTTTCAGCTACCGAGAGAGAGACTCATGTATAAAAGGCTTTCAGCTACTGAGAGAGACTCGTGTATCAAAGGCTTTCAGCTACTGAGAGAGACTCGTGTATAAAAGGCTTTCAGCTACCGAGAGAGAGACTTGTGTATAAAAGGCTTTCAGCTACCGAGAGAGAGACTTGTGTATAAAAGGCTTTCAGCTACCGAGAGAGAGACTCGTGTATAAAAGGCTTTCAGCTACTGAGAGAGACTCGTGTATAAAAGGCTTTCAGCTACTGAGAGAGAGACTCGTGTATAAAAGGCTTTCAGCTACTGAGAGAGACACAGCAGTCACCCTTTGGGTTTACGAGGGGAAATGTCCACTGAAGGTCCAGGAGGAGGTAAGTCCATGGGGAACATGTCGACCCACATCTGGACCCGACCCTTCACACACACACACACACACACAGGAGGAAATAAGACAAAAAACATGAGTTGCTTCTGAATAATTATAAACAAATCCTTCTTTCACGCGATAGCACTCAACGCGCTGAGCAGAGATGATCTCGTCAACCACGAGGAGAATTCTAGTAAAAGAGTCATTTGACGGTAATAAGAAATCAACTCTTAATATTACTCGCTCATGTTCATCTCTTGTTTTAGTATCAACGGCAAAACTGATTTGTCTTGAATACCTGGTCCATGCCAGGCCGATCCTTGTTGAACAGGGTTCTGGTCTCGATGTGTTCTGGGACCAGCTTGCATCCCACGGCCGGAATCTCAGCCCATCGATGCAGGACCTTCAGCGACAAGTGCTCATAGGACTCCAGGGGCTCGTCTGCGACATGTCAGGAAAGATAATGACTGACTGGCGGTGTATCGTGCCATAAGTTGTTAGAGTGCACTAAAAAGCATGCTATGGTATGATGTGCCATAGAGACATTTAGACGCAGAGCGGCTCGGACCTTCACCTTCGTGCATGAAGCACGTCTTTCCGACGAACACCTTGTCGGCCACGCTGATGCGCCCCGGTCTGAAGAGGGGCTCCTCCAGGCCGTGGTCTCTGCACAGCTTGGACAGCAGCTCTGAGGGCTTCAGGCCGTCTCTCCAGGCGTTGTAGCCGTCTCTGACGGGGCGGAGGAGGGAGAAGAAGAAGTACGGAGATGAAAGAAGGTACGAACGACAAATCCCTTTAACCAGCACAACGGACACTCGACCCGCGTTCCAATCCTCTAACGTTCGAATGAGGGGAGAGCTCATTGAAACCGCAGCAGAACTATTTAACTTCCCAGTCTAAAGCTCGTGTTTGAATGTACTTGCTCCTCAGTCTTTCTACAATGACTGGCAGAGATTGACGGAGCTTTGGAAGACGAGTTCAAGTTGCTGCAGAGGAGAGTTTTTTCTGGGAACGTGAGTCAGTGAAGAGGTCCCTTCAAAGGTTGATCCAGCAGCCGCTGACTCACAGGCTGTACTCGGTGGGGAGTCCGCAGGTGGCTCTGTGTCGGCTGTAGAAACGGTTCTCCAAGTCGATGCGAGTCTCTCCTATCAGGTCGTCCCCTCCCACCATGTCGTAGTCGTAGACCACCACCGACAGCAGGGACTCCCGAGGAAACGTCGCCTGCATCTCAAAGGATCTGGAATCACAGACGGGAGCTTGATGAAACATGAAGGCCCCCCGGTGGGGGGGATTCCCAGCGCGGGGGCAGCCAGCCGCTCACGCACCTCCCGAACACGGGGTTCAGCTGCTTGGGGATGTAGTTGTCCCGGTCTTTAATTTCGTTCTTGCCGAGCCGGAGGACAATGTAAGGGTCCGCCTTCCCATCCGGATCGGCAGGGTGCAGGTTAGAAGCCTGGTGGGGGCGAGGGGGGTAAGAGGTCAACACTTTGGTGATTAGTCAAGAGGTTCTGTATTTGAAGCGTTTGTCCAACGGCCTGCGTGACGTTGACAGACGTGTTAGGTGTCAGTAGGGAGAGTCGGTTGACTGTACGATACCATCGAGCGCAGGGAACATTAGCAGCCAACAAAACAATCATTCATTCTAATACTCTGCTTTGCACCCGGAGGAAGGACGCTTTGGATCGCAGACACTAAAGTAGATCTGGGTGAAATACAGGCTGTGTTTGGAAAGTCTATAAAAAGTACTAAAACATTATCTGGCTATAAAAAACCCTTCAAAAGTAACCATTTACAGATAAGACAGTCGTTGAATGCAGTAGATTATCCAAAGACAAATGCGTTCTAGTTTCAATAGTAAAACTCACCAAACATAAGAAAATAAAAAAATGATTCAGTTGTCATTTTTCTTTGGATTCATGTTTGCATTTTAAACATTTTTTGTGAAGCCTGCTTACTTTAGAATGAATGTTCTAACATTTGATGTGTTTTATGTATAAGAAGCTATGCTAATACGCTAACAGCTGTGCACACGGCGTTCACGCACAGAGACGATGTAGACCCGGATGAGGACTTGGACTAGGCCGTTGGGGGGGATTCCTCTGCTGACTCTGAAGTCCCTGCCGTCCGCGTCTTCGTCCCAGTCCTCCGCGTTGTCCTCGTTCAGCTTATACAGGCAGAATCGTCCCTGCAGAGAGGAGCATGCAGCCAGTGGATTGGATGACTGTGTTGAAGACGCGTCAATGGTTCCCACAGAGGACGTCCACCCTCGCTGCCTCACCTTGAATTTACCAACGAATCTCTCCTCAGTTGCCCCCTCTTCCTCGTTGGCTTTCCCTCTGAACAGCTCGTACGTGTTCACCCAGTCATTGAAAGAGCCAAACTCTGCCTCCAGCTCCTTGTCGTACAGCTGCAGAGACCGTCGGCATCACCCAAAATCCACTCAACAACAACGACCACGACGACACAGAACTCTCCGGTTCAGTTCTAACAAATGCACCAGGAATTCAGACTGGAAAACCTGGCATCATATCTCTCGCTTCTATATCGATGTAGAATACTTATTCAATGTACATTCCCATCTGTGTAAACAGGGCACAGAGAACACGCACCTTGTATTGTGAAGTCATTCTCGGCTCAGGTAGACTTGTCACCATTTTATCTGTTCACATTATTGCTAAATAAGTGTCCTGAACCTTTGGGGAACTAAATCGGTGTGTTTTCCGCGGATCAGAGAGCGTGCTGTGGTTTAACTCAGAGTACCTTCAGTGTGGCTAATTTGGTAGCCGGACCGACGTTGGGATCCAGGGATTCTTTTCCTTTTTGTTTCTTCTTCTTGTCTCCATCTGAGACGCCGCTGACTAAAGGAACATGTGAATAGTGACAAGGATGAGTCATATTTTTAGGGGTAAACACTGACGCAAAGCATGGAAGTGAAGAAGAGGCTAAAGCCTTTGTTTTGCATTGTGATGACAGAGCAGCTAATAGCAGAGAAAACTGCCATTTAGAAACCAACGAGTGGCGTCCGTGATTTGACCCAAGCTGATCTCCACCACAAAAGAAATTGTTATTGCATCACTTGTGTTCACTTAATACGGCCAGTTTGTCAGAAACATTTGTATTGCTGCCCTCCGCCACGTTAAAGAACCCCAAACCCATCCCCCAGAATGCACCGGGTGCAGCTGGAGGGTAACAGTGCAGGTTAGCTTAAAAGAATTATCCACGTGGTTCTACCACAAGTTACCAAGCAGAAGATTTCTACACAGGCTGCAGACTGGAGTCCGACCTGTCGCCACCAGCAGCGTTTGCTGCAGTGACACATCTGCTTAAGCCCAATGTCTTTGTGCTTACCTAAGGAGTCTATTCCATCGCTGAGCAAGCCCTGATACGGCAAAACTGCAACGCACAACAACGTGTGTGTGTGTGTGTGTGTGTGTGTCAGGGTAAAGCGTTACGGTGGCCCTCTCTAAGACCATTTCACAAGCATATTTAAATTAGACTTCCATCGACAGCATTAGTGGCAAAAGCAATGTGCAGAAATGTTTCTGCAAAGGTCTCCATCCACGCTGAAGTAGCTGAACAAGTTAGTTGAGTCACAATATTATATTACTTTTAATTCTCTTCAAATCTCCTGCAAAAAGGAGATTCAACTTGTCTACTGGACCCTTTTTAAGGTTGAATTACAGAGCAGACGAGTCACAGAGGAGTTCTTACCTTTATCAAAGACCTCTGGGAACGGAGAGCCGTCCTGTTTGGCCTGAAACAAAGCAAACAAGTTCACAGCAACGTCTCTTTCTTTGCGGTTTGCAGCAGAGTTGCCGAATCGGACCTACCCGTTTCTCCCCAGAGGCGTAGTACTTGGACCACCAGTCGATGACACACTCTGCCGACTCGTCCGCGATGGTCCGCTTCTTCCGCTTGGTGGAGCGACCCCGGCTGCTCTTCGCCTCGCCGCCCTGGACTCAAAACGCGCAAAGAATGGTTACACACCGATATGAGGGATTCCTAAACAAGCTCACTATCTGTCTGGTCATGGGGGCGGCAACCCTTTTCTTCCCGAGTTCCTCCTCAGGTGGGGGTGCGGGTGCAGGGGCTTGGTCCTCCACAGTGATGAGGAAGTCTTGATTGGTTAGTGGGGCAGTCAAAGTGGTGTCTCCGGCAGACGGGTACAGCCCTAATGGGGGGGGGAAGACGACGATCAGTCTCCCTGTGGGACGAGGTCCAGGAAACCTTTCCACACACACACACTTGTACTACCCTCAGTGCTCCCCGGCTCTGCGGGTGAGGAGGGTCCCGGTGGCTCCGTGACCTTGGGCGGGCGGCGTGTCTGTGTGGGGAGGGCCGGCAGGGCCGGAGGGGGGGTGTATTTGAAGGCCTTGAGGTTGTTGACGACGTGGTTTCCGACCAACGTGCTGCGACCGAAGGCCCGCCAGTCAACGACGGTGATGCTGAGAGGAGGGTGGAGGTGTTCGTTCTCTGGTAACTCCTGAAGCGGGACGGATTCCAAACGGCAACATGTTGAGAGATGATAGACGGTGCACCAAGTCACAGTCCACCACACGGCCAGAGGTACCATGGCCGTTAATTAGCTCTCCATTGGCCCGGAATGAGATTTATAAAACCCGAGTCGGGGGTTTGCTCTCATTCAGACGCAAGGTCTATAACGGGCGTATTGGTCTTACCAGCTCGATGGCGTCCACCAGCGTGGGGAAGTTTGGGTTGGACTTGTACTTCTGGATGACGGAGGAACGCAATGTTTTACCTGCACACTCTATGAAGACCTAGAGAGGAAGAGAAGGCTTCGTTATGTATTAACACAAGTGTTTTATCCTTTCTTCTACGGAGACATTAGGGTCCCGTTTCCCATGAGGAATCCTGAGGTTTTGTCCACTTTTTTCTGAATATATGTAAGAATCACGGCTATAAGGACAGTTTGTGCCGTATTGCTGTTGCAAAGAGTCTTAAGGGACAATCTGTGTTTGTGATATTCAGCTCAGTGAATAAAGTGATTGAGCAGATTTTAATGACAATGCAAAGAATTTGATGGCAGCCTGTGATGTCTAAAGGAATTTAATGCAGATGGAATGAAAAACTCAAAAATGAACATAGATAACAGTCAATGTACTAAAATGGGCTGCTTGTAAACGTTGTCAGCTCTTTGTCATGGTGGAGAATTAAAAAGTTAATAAAAATACCATAAAAAAAATACAGGAATTCTTTATGTAAGAAAAAGTACTCACTCGATGTTACCATTTCTTCATTATGTATGTATCCTTTATTCATGCAGGGGGACATTATGATATATGATTGCTTCCTTTTTGTTGTCAAAGGGTAAAGGTAAAGTAATTCCAGCTTGTTACAGTAGGCTTTAAGAATTTTTGGATTGGAGACTTGGTGGTTTTGTGTGAGTGTGAGTGTGTGTGTGTGTGTGTGTGTGTACCTGTGGGCGATCAACAGAGAGCAGCTGAACCTTCTTCAGCTCTCTCATACCCCAGAATAACACCTGGTGGGAGCAAACAAAAAGATACACACTTTTAAGTGTTGCCACACACACACACACACACACACACACACACACACACACACACACACACACACACACACACACACACACACACACACACACACACACACACACACACACCTCCAGCCTGAAGGTGCTGAGAACAGGTCTGATGTTGGCAGGGACCGTGTAGATGCCTCCTTCCTGTTTCTCCAGGGCCGGCAGACTCCGCTCTGTGGACTCCTGCATCTGCACAGAGAGACACTGGAGAGTCATCCCACGCGCACGGCCACGCGCACGGCCACGTCCTGCGCCGCCGTCAGGGAAACCAAGCGGGCCGGTCCACCGACCTGCAGCAGTTCAAAGGCAGCCAGCAGGTCTCCCCCCGGCTGGCTGCCGCAGTGCAGCGGGCTGTACCGCAGGGTCGGCGGGGCGTAGGGGTCGGAGGCCAAGCGGACCTCGGGCACCACCACCGTCGCTCCCAGATACTCCGCCTTACTCTGCACACGGCAGGCCAGAGAGACAGAGAGAGAGAGAGAGAGAGAGAGAGAGAGTCACGTACAACAGGAAACCATTACTCCGTCCGTCCGTCAATGGATCCACGCGGGCGGCGTCACCAGAGCGTCGTCGTCGTACACCTCGACGAGGACGCGCGGCGGCTCCTCCCGGATGTGCTGCAGATCTCCACTCAGCAGCAGGCGGCTCATCAGCAAACACTGGTTCCACGTCGGACTGAGCGTCTGGCTGATCACCTGGCAGCAGCACAAAGGGGCCGTCACGTTGTACACGGGGAGGCACGGCTTGCAAAGCCCTATGAACCCACGTCAGCACCCCGGGGACGCTTCGCCGGCCCCCTCAGAACACCAGCACTTACGTTGGTGGTTTGGCTGTGTGACAGACAGGTGACTCGAGCAAAGGGGTCAGACAGGCCGGAGGTGTCGGCGGCGATGAGTCCACGGGCCTGATACATGTGGCACCTCAGCTGGAAGGTGTGCTGCTCTGGAGACGACACAAGTGCTGATGGTTTTTCACCTCATTTGATGCCAGACGCAAATACCGAAGACGGGTTCATGTTCGGTGGTAGTTAGACATGATTTTGGCGACAAACAGAAACATGGCGGCGGTCGGTCCGTCCGTCCCTCACCGGCACACAGCAGAGCTGCAGGAGGACAGCTGGCGACGGCGCCCCCTGTGGCCGCACTGAACCCCGCGGGCAGGCCGTCCAGCATGTGCACGGCGTCGGAGCTTGTCCCGTACCACAGATACACATCCACCTTGGCTTGGACCGACAAGTCCGCCACTCGCTTCCCCGGAGGCTGCAGACACACACACACAGCTGCTCTGTGCCTACATTCAGACCAACGTACTTATAGCCCCCTCTTGGACGCAGGGGTACCGTCTCGCGGCCACGTTTATACAAAGTTCGACGCACATAAAGGCCACAAACCCAGCAGAGTAGGAAGTTGAAGAGTGTAGTACCTTTAGAAACAGTGTTATTATCTTGCCACAGTGGATCCCTCGGGCCTCCCGGCTGCTGGAGTGCAACAGGTCTCTGGCACGCAGCCGGGCGTACGCGACGCGCTTGTTGTTGCTTAGCAACCACACGAAGACGTCGGGCACCGTGTGCTGGGGCTACAGGGTGCATAAGGAAAAGGAATGATGTCCTAGACGCAGGTTGTCAGGATGCACATCACACGCGCAGGGCGAGTCCCGTACCTCCTCCACAAGGAAGCGTATTCTCTGCGTGAGTTTGGTTGCATGCTGCAGCATCTCTTTCACGCCGCCAGTTTTTCTCTTCCCCTCTACCGCAAACTGGGCCTCTCCTATCATACTCTCCTGCAACACACACACACACATTTCATAAGAACTGTTGAGCTGGTGAAACCTCCATCTCACGTGTGGCTGTCCAACCTGATTCCTGCAGCACTGCACTGTTAAACTAGAAATAAATACATGTCACAGGTTTTCACCCAAAGCCTTCGCAATTCATATTTAAGGAAGCAGTTTGTGTTAGTTTGCGTTTGTGTGCCAGATGTTCCCACCAGTTCCTGTTTGCACAGGGTGAGGCGTTTCCTGTCCAGCTGCGTCAGGTAGCTCGACTTCCCCTCAGCTTTCAGCTTGGCCTCCGCTGCCGCTACGAAGCTCCTGCACAAACACGCCTCAGCCTGAAGAGCTACAATTTATTTTTCTAAAATCGCAGGTTTGAATATGCAAATGGGGAATTGTCTCATTAAATATGTGCTCATCGGCATGAGTTGAATGAAGAGTTTTAGAACAGAGTCAAAGTTCCTAACTTCTTAATTTGGGATATCGCTCTGAATAACTGGTCTAATGTGTGAGAGGCACCTTTGCAATGACAGACGCCCCCCCCCCCCCGGGTTCTGAACACGTCTGAACATACCTGGCGTCCATGCAGAATTCCTTGAGGACGGTTTTGAGCAAGTGCTCCGCCCCCGGATCCGACTTCCTGTGTAGCTCTGCAGCACTGGCGACACCCTCCTCCTAAGAAACAATTAGCACTGTGTAAAGTGCAATGAGCATGTGAAGATGGCGGTGACACATTCATCTTAGTCCGGCAGGAGCGTGAGCGTACAAACAGCACGCCGATGTTGTCCAGCATGTAGGAGTTGTGAGGTCGGTAGGCTCGGGCCCTCCCAGTGACTCAGCACACTGATGCACGGGCTTTTGCTTCTCCAGGGGCAGATGCATGTTAGCAACCTGAAACGCATCCACACGCACGCAAACAGTTATCCCACAACAAAGAAAACAAGGGAGATCAAATGTGTTGTGTTCCAATGGCCCTCGAGATGGAGCAAACCCCCCATCTAGTCCCCTCCTCTTACAGGTAAGAAGTGAAGGTAAAAGTATCACTGGTTTGAATACCAACAATTACGTTTCAGGCATCAGTCATCTCAACTTTGTTTGTTATTTAAGTAAAAGGAAGAACAAATAACACAAAGGTTGAATTAATGAGGAAAATATACGGCTTTTACGGTTCTGAAGTATCTAGAAATAGTGGCCACCTTCTTCTCATACTTTACACTTATTTTCATGCAGTAATACACAGAATCAAATGAGCAAGCGACTCAACTTGTTCCCTTCGACGATGAGCGGCCTCTGGGGAGGCGTGGTGGACCTGGAGGAGGGCGGCGCGTCCGCAGACTCCCTGGGGAGGAGCGGGGAGGTCGGGGAGGTGCTGGGAGCCGAGGAGCCCGGCGGGACGTCCAGCGCTCTCCTCCTTAGAGCAGGGCTGGTGGGCCGGGGGGCGGTTTTCTCTGGAGGCTCCAAGACGTTACCGCAGTTACCTGAGGGGGGGATTAATGAATTCATCAATATTCACAATCGCTTCGATCCACGTCACTGTGATTCCACCGCGGAGGGAGGGTGGGCTCGACGGCTCACCGATGGAGAACTCAAAGCTGATTGGCTTGTCTCCGATCTTCCTGTCAATCATGGTGGCTTCAAACAAGGCTCCGAAGAGGACGAAGGACTCGTTGTCGGCGTCGAGCTGGACGGAGGAAACATTTATTAACGCGTCAATGATCCGTGTCATAACCTGAGGATTATCGAGACAAACAGGGCATGACGAGGTTATACGGTTGCTGCATTTTCAGCATAATTATATAATAATTCAGCATAATTACACAATAATAATTAATTGTAGAATAAATCAATGGAAGCAAAACCCTCACAGTTAAATCATCAGTAAAAGAAGTGAGTTGAATAAAGTGATTCTTTGATTGAAAAACACCACAGCAAAGGCTCATGGGCCTTGTAGTATTTAGATTAAAATATTTAAACCCACATGTAGGATTATTAAAGGACAACTTTTCTAGTTTCTATGGCGAGGACTATTGAGTTAAATTACCGCAGGAGGAGATTCCACCGGCAGCACCTCTGCAGCCGCGGCTTTTCCCTTGTCGTCGTCGGCGGCTCCCCCGGCCGCTGCTCCCGCTCCTCCGCCTCCTCCACCCGCAGGAGTCTTACCGTCCTTCCCTCCACCTTTACCTGCTTTGGCGTCCTTCAACGGCTTCACCATTCTGCTGAGTTTGGACTCGGAACCCGACCCCCCGGACAGGATCTCCACCGCCAGCTCCATGTAGACGCGACCCCTGACTCCATCAACGGATGGAGGTTGAGGCGCGAGTTCTTCGTCAATCACCAGTTTTCCCCCCCCCCGTGATTGTATTTATTTAACACCGACCTGTAGGACACGCCCTCTCCGATGCCCTCGTTGAGCTCCACCGTGTCGTCGCCTATGGACCCGTTTCTCACCGAGCCGTACAGGTTGATCCACGCGGGGCCAAAAGTAGGTAAAAAGCCTGGAGCGAGAGAGGAAGAGACGGAGCGCCTTCATCCGACCGAGGGCTTGCCATTCCTGCCCTCGCCGACCTCCTCGGCCCCCTGAGAGTGTGTCCGAAGTTCCCCCCTCCTCACCTCTGTCGCCATCCTGTTCATTGGAGATGCGCCTCAGGTCAAAGTAATGAGTTCCGATGGCAACGTCGCCCATGCTTCCCTCGTCCCAGACCTGTGGGGGGGAGAGAGGTCAGAATGCTGCGATCTCCACCCTCTGTATCGGTAAATATAAGAGTACGTGACAACATTCGGACCTGGATCTTCAGCCTCTGACACAGAGGGGGGAACATCTCCGTGAAGACGATCTGCTCGTTCCACGCCGGCTCTGCTGTAGACTTCTGGGTGGAGGTGCGACCCTGCCAGGCAAAAGGGGAGGAGCTTAAATGTATATATATATGTTTGAGCACAATTCCAATAATCAAGCACACGGAAACCACGTTTAACGAATTTTTGGACAACCGTTCCGAAACCTGCACGGTTCCTGATTGTTGGAGCAGAAAGGCCTTTCGTCTGTCTTGGACCCACCACTTGTTTGAAGAAGCTGACCTCCACGTACGGGTCTATGAGGGCCGTGTTGTCTCCGATGAAGGCCTTGGTGACGTTGGCCATGATGCTGGAGTTGTTCCGAGGAAGGCCTTCAGCTCGATACACCTTGACAAAGAAGCGAGCCCAGGGACGCTCGGAGGGGAAACCTTCTGGCACCAGCAGGTTCCTGAGGAGCAAAAGGACGTATTTACATTCCTACCCAGTATAACCAGTAAGCCTTTTTAGCCAAATTACACCGAATCCTGAGTGTTTAAGTCTAAAGCTGACAGCTCTGAGGCCGGTTCCACCAACATGGATGCATGTCATCTACCGTCACCAAACTAACACGTTTCTATCCTCTGGGGACCACGATTATCTGCTTTCAAGAGGTTTGATTGGTCAAATGCCGTCTTTATTCTCAGGATGGCTATGAAGGACAATAAGGCGTTGATGAAGTGGAGTGGAATTATGGTGCTAGAAGTAGTCCTTTTTTACATCCTAATTTCTAATTTATTAAAGTCTAACCCTAACTGGTATGATAAAAAAAGGGAAATTCAGATTAAAAGAAAGTCATCATACTTTTCTATCTGCTCCTCTGCATCACTCGCTTTTGGTCCCGGCTTCACGGCGTCCCCCTTCGCTGAGACGCTGATGTCACACTTGACATAACCTTTGACCCCAGTGCTAATGTCCCCAGGATTTGTCAGCATTGCCCACTTGTTGGTGAACTGATGACCTGAGGGAGAAGACAAAGAGGAACGATGGGTTCAGAAGCTCCCTCCGCCCCTTCCCCAGGTGAGCTCCCTCCTCCGCCCCTTCCCCAGGTGCGCTCCCCTCTGCCCCTCCCCCAAGTGAACTCCCTCCGCCCCTCCCCCATGTGAACTCCCTCCGCCCCTCCCCCAAGTGAACTCCCTCCGCCCCTCCCCCATGTGAACTCCCTCCGCCCCTCCCCCAGGTGAGCTCCCTCTTCCCCTCCCCCAGGTAAGCTCCCTCTTTCCCTCCCCCAAGTGAGCTCCCTCTTCCCCTCCCCCAAGTGAACTCCCTCCGCCCCTCCCCCAGGTGAGCGCCCTCTTCCCTTCCCCCAAGTGAGCTCCCTCTTCCCCTCCCCCAAGTGAGCTCCCTCTTCCCCTCCCCCAGGTGAGCGCCCTCTTCCCTTCCCCCAAGTGAGCTCCCTCTTCCCCTCCCCCAAGTGAGCTCCCTCTTCCCCTCCCCCAGGTGAGCGCCCTCTTCCCTTCCCCCAAGTGAGCTCCCTCTTCCCCTCCCCCAAGTGAGCTCCCTCTTCCCCTCCCCCAGGTGAGCGCCCTCTTCCCTTCCCCCAAGTGAGCTCCCTCTTCCCCTCCCCCAGGTGAGCTTCCTCTTCCCTTCCCCCAAGTGAGCTCCCTCTTCCCCTCCCCCATGTGAGCTCCCTCCGCCGCTCCTCCAGGTGAGCTACCTGGCTGTCTGTAGACCGTCCACACGTCCACCTTAAAGGACCCGACACTGAAACTCCTCAGCATTTTGGAGTGCATCACCTGCAGCAAAGAGTCAGAGGTGAAGCTTCAGACTGAACCTGGCAACCCCAAACTACGACACAATTAGAGACAAAAACAATTGATTTTCATCCAACAATTTGAAGAATATTTGCCTGGATGACGGGTCACATGTCATGCAAACCATAAATCACTTTCAGATTGTGACGGAGGACACTTATTGTGTCCAAGTAGAAACATGTAGGATTCTGAATTCTTCATTTATAATATTAGATATTACATCGGAACTTATCGGCTTCTTTTCTTTCTTTTTTTTACTCACCGTCAGCTTGATGACTTTGTCAAAAAAGACCTCCTTATAGGCGAAGAATTCAAACACGAAATACTGTTGGGAGTAAGAGAAGGGGGGGGGACAGGGACGGATCATTCAGACGGCGTCTCCGGGATGAGGAAAATCCCCAGAAGGACTCGTTCCTACCTCGTTGTAGAAGGGAGCGTTGGTCCCTTCTTTGACCGAAGTCTGCTTCTTCTCATCGCCGATCTCCACCAGCACACTCGGGTCGATGTTCTCTCCCACCAGCTGCCTGGCCTCTGTGATGTTGATGGAAATCTACAGGCAGAGCGAACGCTACTTAACACACAGGAGTCTCCTCAAAAGGTCTTTCGTCAATCTTGTGCATCATGAATCTGAGCTGATGGTCTTTAGGAGTTAAACTGTCTCTCTTATTATCGTCACACGTACATCTCTCACTGCTCCACAGAGTTTAATCCCACATTTATAATAAAACGTAACCCAGATATATCCCCAAACGTTGCCGTCACCTGGAAGCTCCGAGGTTTCCCTTCGCTCTTCTGGATGCAGGTCTTCAGTTTGGCCCTGTGGACGTTTCATTGGGAGGTTTAAAGGAGGGAATAAATTCACCACTTTCCGATGTTCATGAAACATTTATTATTTCACACCTTTTGTTGTTTGGTATTATTCTGGTTCTGACTGCAGAGGTTCCCGGTTGGTCCTCCCAGTTCTCTCCCTGCAGCAGGGCCGACGCCTCCGAAGGCGCCTCCACCTCGCTGTCTGCACACGCACACGTTGAACACACACGCAACCCAACCACGACAGTAGCAGACAATGGGCCCCGTTTGTTGAGATCTTCCTAGTTCCTTCTTAAATGTGTCGTTCCTGAAAACGGACCTCAAAGGGATCAACGTTTTATCAGCACTCTGGGACGATCACGTCACGTGATGAAGGACCGTTACATCACATACAACACGCGACTGTTTGACAAGGGTTTGTCTTTGATATGACAGGAATGATTACTCTTCTGCACACTGTCAACACAACAAAGCAGCTGTGTGTGTGTCTGTGTGTGTTTTTCCAGGGCCTTACCCACGGCTCCCTTGTTTGCCAGGACCAGATCTGTGTTGGCTTTCTTCTTCTTCTTCCCTTTCAGGCCAAACATCAACTTGGCCTTCCTGCTCACAGGACAGAGGGAACATCTTACTCCCAACGCCTCTTAGTCACTTAGTTGTCGAGGGATTGAGGAGAACTTTGTCTCCTAGTTGGTAGGAAAACGTTTCAGCGCCGCCGCTTTGTCAGCGCTTTTCACAAATGGATTTGAGATTTTATTACATGCAGAAACAACGGCACTAAAAAAAAAAAATATCGTCAGCTAAATGACCTGTAATGTAATGTAAAAATCGTAATGTGATGACATCATCCTGTTTGACACTATTTGAATAATTGGTAAATCTTATTAAATTAAAACAATTTGAATTTATGCTTTTGTAAAACACCACAACAAAAAGGGAGCATCTGGATTTATGCCTCTACGTGTCTATGTAGCTCAGATACACATAGTGTGTGTCTGTGTGTGTGTGTGTGTCTTTCTGCGTTCTTACAGGTAAAGGAATGAGTTTCCTTCCGATTTCTTTTTCTTTGGTTGATATATCTCACATTCTGTGACCATTCAGTAAACATCAGAATTTCCTCAAAAATGCTAAAAAAAAGAAAAATGCATTGCATTTAAATCCTTTAAAAGACTCAATTTAAATACAGCCTTTTTAAATACAATTTGTAATAAGTACTCAAGAACAGTTTATGCTTTCCAATCACATCATTAATCATCATCATTAAACAATTCAGATATTTGTTCTTTTCCCTTTAAAGTTTACTCTTCCTCCACCATCCGTTTACAAGAACAGGAAGAACTATAACTTCAACTTCAAACTAATTCACTTATCGGACGGTCTAAGGTAGATGCGACAAAACAAAAGCCCTTGAGTTTGCTCACCGCCGCTTGCCTTCAGGACTTTCTGAGGGATCCATCCTGCACAATCCAGAGAGGTTCCCTTTTCTCTTTAAACACCAGGAGGCTTCAGGTCCTGCAGTCGACAACTAAACCGTTGAGCTGAATATCATTGGACATTACTGCTCGGTCAATAAAGACTGATGGGAACCTCCTAAAGCCCGCCCCCACCTGCTGGTTTACATGCCCACGTACTGAACTCAACCCGGTCATGAATAAGCTTCGTACCCGACAGTCCGGCTCGGCTCCTTCATCCTGGTTCTAGAGAAAACACGTTGATCAACTCGCTGTGGTTCCAGAGTTCAACACAGGAAGTCAAGTGTGAGTGACACACCTACGAGTTACAGGCACAGCGGTTCACTGATCATTCTACCAACTAACTAACTTCATCCTCAATCCCCAACACAGAAACACACAAAAAAAACCAAGACCCCTCAGGCCATGGGACTTTCAGATCTGGAAAACCACACACACTTTAAATACATTCAGACCAGACTGGTGAGGAATCCAAGCACAGCAGAAGAAGCCGCGGTCCTGACCCCCACGCGGCGCAGGAGGAGGAGGAGGCCTCCTACCCGAGTTTGGGCTCCAGTCCCGCGGCCACCGGCACGCCGGTCGCGTCAGCTGGACGAGCTGCATCCGTCCCGCGCGTGTTTGCTAAAGGACAGAGTCAGACGCCGCGGCGAAGCGGCAGCCTGGGCGGGTGATTGGTGGTCGTAAAGCAGAAGGAGTGCGAGGATCCTTTTTTTTTAACGTATCACTTCATCACCTGCAGGAGAGTTCAAGAACAAAACTGTCTACTAAAGTAGTCCACCTGCAGCAGCAGCGTTGGTGGTGTAAATAAATGTCATTTGAAGATGGTGGTGCACTGCTATCGATTGTATTATCGTCAGTATATAATGTTGAATATAAAATATGCACATCTTGCATGCGTGCGTGTGTGTTCATGTAAAGTGGTGATCATGTGACCAGGATGTTTCAAAGCGGTTAACAAAGTTAACAAACCCTCCCCTGGCAAACAGAGCTTTCGTTCCTCATCAGCTGACGGATGCGAGTGAATTCCAGGGACACATCTCAACAATCACACGGTCGAGGTGTCATTATGCTTTGTTATGGGACCACCACGGTTACTCCCAGTCAAAATGCCCCTTGGTACCAATTGCTCTTTTCCAGTAAATATCCAAAGTCTAGAATGTGGAAATAAAAACACGACAACCTACGGTATGATAAGGAGAGACTCTGTATTAGCAAACAGAAATGATAAAAGGTAAAATGATAACCATGTGAATTATTTGTGTGGAAGTCTGGCGATCTAACAAATACAAATACACGGGCACTTTTACGAAAATGTGACACTCAAAGACGTTTTCCATAAACGGACCAAAGACCAGAACGTCTCCTGCGACCCACGAAACATAACCTCTGTTTTCTCGTTGTATAAACAACCTCATTTCCCTCCAACCCGTCGTCGCTGCAGCCCCGGCCCTCCAGCAGCCCCCCCCCCCCCAGTCCTCTGCTGGCGGCCACCCAGCCGCGCCGCCGGGGTGTGAGGGGTGCCTTGCTCGGGGGGCACGTTGACGCTGCTCACGCGGCAGACTGGGATCGGGAAGCCAGCGCCCCCCCCGGGAGACGCTGCTCCTTTGCACGGACTCATCGTCCTGTTGGCTCCCGGTCCTCGTTGGTCAGTCTCGGCCGCGGGATCCCTCGTGAATATCTGCGAGAGATCAAACAACAGAGGGAAAGCGTTTGAATTCTTACAGCGACTTTGACTTGCTGAGAAGTGGCCACGACGTCACTTCAACCAGCGCTTGAAAGCTGCCATGAAACTAAAAGGAAGATTTTCTCATTCAATTCTATTGAAAATCCAACACACAGGAACCAAAACCGATTCTGTCCGAGTGTTCGCAGACGGAATGCGGGCACAAAGTCTGGTGCTGAAGACATCCAAGGCGCGTTCACATCACAGCAGAGCAACCAGGGAACCGGGGATCACCGTGCATCTACGCAGCCGGCTTGATCAAAATACGTGCGTCGATTCGCTAAGCGACCGCCCCACGCGGGAACCGACGGCCGCTGGCGAATCTGGCAGGTCTGGTGTGATGTCAATGAACAAAGCGCGAAGACATGCCGACACGACGAGGCGAGGATTCACCTCTCACCACGAGGGGCCATTCGGCCGCCGCTTTGGATCGTGGCGCGCGACCTCCGGTGGCGGGGGGGGGGGGGGACTCTTTGAAAAGCAGACCGCGTTCCAGAACGCTCAAAGGTCCAACGTTTCACTAAAGGGAAAAGTTCTCAACGAGCTTTCAGATGACGTGAGGAACAGAAAGGGACAGTCGGTGGATCCCAGCAGAGGTTTGAGAAAAACATTCCCGTCCAACGAGGACGCTTCAGGTCGAAGGGGGAGGAAATGTCCACGGAGCAGCGAAGAGGCCTCGATGTCCTCAGCAGGATCCACTTTCCAACAGGGAGCGGAGGTCGGCCCGTTGGAACGAGGACAGAAGGACGCTCTTCAGGGGGGGGGGGGGGGAACTCGGGCAAAGAGCAAGGAGGCGAGGGAAGCGTTGGCGTCAGGAGCACAGAGCGTCAATACCTGCAGGAGTGAGAACCAACGCTTGTAGGAGGTCAGAAAGGGAGACGATGCCTCTCACCACATCGTCAGCGTCCACCAGAACCAACCGGTGCACCTGAGAGAAAGAGGATTGCGCTATAACGCCGATTTAAGGTCAACGTTTCTTTTCTACATACGATGACAATTAAGAAAGGTTGCAGGGGGAGAAGAACACATGGAGATAAATCTACTTGTGCAGGAGTCCTGGAGTCTTTGTGTGATGGTTAACTATTATTGCTTATTTTATATTCAAATAAAGACGTTCTCATTGCAGGTCCACCCTCATTTGAATCTGACGCCTTCTAGTAATTCAT